TTGCGGTCGCCCCGAGACCATCGGCATGCAAGAGGCAGCCAGGATGTAAGCAAAAAGTGGAAATGCCGGAAGTAATTAGGAATGAAACGCGTTCACTGAGACAACAGTTCTATTCACACTCCGCGACTGGCTCTGGTGATGGGTTCGAGTGAGAATCCAAAACGTCGAGAGAATAAAAGTATTTATCGAAAGACTAGACCAGCGAACGTGATTTCCGCAAGATGTTAAGTAGGTTTGCTTTTTGGGCCTGCCGCAGCATATAAATATTCAAAACCGAAAATTTGACAAGATGAGAGGAGTGCGATGAAGCAGAGAGACGTTAAAGTTCAGAATTAGGCGGGAAAACAAGACTAAATACGTTCATGAGCAAATAAGAGTAACCCAGAGGGGCTTCTCCATGTACAACATAAGGTTCTGAAGGAGCTAGAGAGTACAGCTTTAAGTGAGCAGAAATTGTGTTGTGGTGCCGCAATGAAGTTGCTTTTGCCATTGATTTAACGCATATTCTGCGGTCAGTCCACAGCCTGATCGGCAAAATCTTCCCAGCTACTTGGTTGGTGAGTATAGAAACAGAAAAAGAGCTGAAAATTTTCCGCCAGGTTGCCAAGCCTTATTCCATAATAAGAAACCATAAAAAAACGCAAAGGGCTTGGAAGAGAACGATAGCAAGATGCTTTATAAACTAATTTTGACCGCTGCATTGCGCAGAAGTAGCCAAGTCTGCGATGTCTGTCCTGTATCTTGTCAAAAGGGTTTTCTGTGCCTTCGACAAAAACTGTTTTGCTAAGGTCTTTGGAACACTTGTGCGGCCGAAGTTGGAGTTCGCTCTCCAAGCATGGAAACCCTGGACCGCAAAAGACCTAAATTCCCTCGAGAAGGTCCGAAAGCGCGCGACAAAACTGGTGACGGGGGAGGGCTGATTACTCTACGAAACACGTTTAACTAATCTCGACCTATTTCCGTTACGTTACGGACAGCTACGTGGCGATCTTATACAAACATTTCGTAAAATGCGCGGTCAGGACTGCTGTCTTCTACCTGGCAACTTCTTCGAGTTAGCAACAACGACGAACTTAAGAG